GAGTGGGTGTGCGACCGCTGCCTCAGCACCAAGAGCATCCCGCTCATCAAGTTCAAGCCGTGAGCGGTGGCCGCGCGCGCTCGGACCTGTGACGCGTGGGCGGCGGCGGCGGCGGGCGGGGCTCCGGCGCCCGGCCGGAGCCGGCCGGGGGCCGACGGCCGCGCGGGCGTCGGCGCGCGTGACTCTGGGCTGGGCGGCTGAGCGCTGCCGCTGCCGGCGCCGCCACCGCTGGGGGTGGCGGACGGGCCAACGGCGGCGTCGTCGACAATCGTGTGCTGAGTGATCTGTGGGTGATGGCCGCGGGCGGGTGCCGGTCGCTCGTGCTGTGCCGCTGCGGCGCGTGACGTCCGGTTGGTGGCGACACTGACGACAGGGGAAGTGGGAACGGGCGCCCAACGACAAGCCGTACCTCCAGAAATGGCTCGTGCGCTGTCAGCCTCCGTCGTGGTGGCTGAGATGGCTCAGTTATGGTGCCCAGCCTCTAGGGACAGGTTTCTCAATCAGCTATGCGTATGATGCTGGGTTGCGTGATGTGCACTATTTTTGTGGACTTACTGTCTTGAATTATGAATGATGTCTGCCCGGCATGGGCCTGGGTCTCCCTACTCATGATGGATGAACTTGAAACTGTCGTCGTTTTCAAATGATGCTTTGATGCTATTGCATGCTGTATTTTAGTACTCTTGCTTCTGGGGTAGCTGATTTTTCTCTTTTTATTCAGTGCCTCCAGTTCTGTATGATCGATTTTGACAACTTTCATTTTAGCAGTGAAGTGGGGTCACACCCTGATACGGTACTGGCCGTTTTGTCGCTCTAGATGATATGCTTCGGTACTAAGACTGTGGTCTGCGATGCACGCCTGGCGATGCGTTTTCAGTTGTGTCAGTTTTGCCTCCCGTCGAAGGGCTGGCTCGTGATGTTAAAGCATCATGTGAGAATCATGCAGGCATCGCAGCTTTTCTGTGGAGGTGCCTGTTGAGTACAAAACGGTGGGCGACGCATTAACTTCGTGCGGCTGTCAATGACAGGGGGGGGGGGGGGGGGCTGTTTGGAGGAGGGCGTGACGACTTGCCACATAATCATGCCCTTTTGTTACAATACAATCTCAGCCGAGCTTTTGCTGGTTGTTAGGAGTGTGATGTAAAAGGGCGTGGTTAAAGGTGCTGCTCGGATGGAGCTAACATGACCTCATTCACGGATTTAAACAGATAGTTGATTGACCAGCGAGAAGCAACGAGAACCTTCGTGTGATTCTGGTCCTCGTGCTTCTAATGTGCGCCAAACGCACTAGTCAAATTTCAGCTCCGGGTTTATTTCGTGGGGTCTATTTCGTTGCGCTAAATATGCAGGCTCCACCGTTCAGATGACATACAGTCTATCGCCTGACACTATCGGAGCCGCCGAGCAGCACTCACTGATCGCAGGATTGGTGCAATTCTGTCCGGTAACGGAGTTTAGGGAGGGAGAGGGAGGAGAAAATATATTAGGCTCGTTTCCCTCCGAGAAGTGTCATTGGTTCGGCTACATCTTACAACGGATGGAGGCGCGGAGGGTATGGTATGCCCCACCCCGTTCTGATGCAAGCCTGACAATTCTCCTTTGCGGCGGTCCATGACAGTGACTGCAGTTCCGGTGTTGACAGTTACGAGTATAGTGCGGGCTTGGGGCGAAACATTACCCATTTCTGACGCCACTTTGACGAAACTTGCGCGTAAGATTTTTATCAGCGAGCAGGAGATCACGCGAGAAGTTTTGGCATGTGTCGGCAGGTGTTGCGCGTTGTATGTGTTACGACGATGAAAGGCGACTGCTAGGATAGCGGACAATACGCCAGAAAAAACAGGAAATATTGCTGGTATGTCGGGAGCCATCTGCATCGGCTAGACGTGGGAAACCAAATTTTTAACAGGAATGTTCTTTCGTGCGTGTGGTCAGCATGCATGGTTGCCTAGAACAGCTCCGTGTGGAATTTCCGTCTTATTTGTTATCGACACGTCTGCTGCGTAGTGTGATGCCATTCATATATCTGGTAAAAATGTTTCAATGATGGCTGATTGGTACAACATGCACCTCAACTTCCAGGCCTGCTTGCTATCCCATTGACATTTGCAGCATTGTGGCAATGCACAATGTGGATGTTCAGCATTCTTCTAAGCATTGGTTGGTAGGATTAATAGTTAAGTTTTGCTTAATATGTTTAGGCAATCTCACCAAAAACTTGTAGAATAAGATGACTCAGACCATGATATGTGTAAGTTGTCCTGGAATCAAATTACTTCTGGCATTCCTACATTGCATTGGTTGGTGGCAATGTGAAAAGTGATTTAACCTGGGGCTCAAATTTCCTACATCACATTTACTGTTACCAGTTTTACTGAAATGTAACCCTGCATTGCTAATTGGCAGCAAGCAGATGCCTAATTTAGTGGCAAAGAAAAATTTATTTACCTGGTAAGATATCCATGTTTTTTATGATTTTATTGAAAGTTGACACAGTTCTTTTTCATAAAGCTGGGTGTGCAGGCATCCACTGTGCCATATGTTTGATCATTTCTGCTTTCTTGTGTGCTGATTAATCACCATCTTTCATTACTTGCTAGTGCTTTGTTGCAATAGTAGTGGGTGTAACCACATCTTAAATTTAGGAGGAGGCAGTACAAGTATGGGGCAAAGCCAAATGTGGGAGGGGGACAGCTCAACCTAAAAATGTCATTTTTATAATAAATGTTAAAAAATATATATTACACATGCTATATAAAGAAATTGAATTTTAAGAAAACTGAAAGAACATGGATGTCCTCCCCTCCCTAGTCATTACACTCATGGTGATAGCCAGCATGTTAACATGTAGTACTTACCAATGCAATGTTTTAAACATGAATATGCTTGTGGTTGATTGTCTGTTCAGCACTTGCTTATGCTAAGCATAAGCTTTGTTTTATGCCAAAGATACATTTTTCTCATTGTGTTATTTTGACTCAGTGTGATATCATTCATTGTTAATCATCACAATGATAAAAGGTGTTATAGAAAACCATTTTCACTACACTGCCCTTGCAATGTATCTGCTAATCTTGTTTTATTCTCAGGACTAGCAAGGGCATTCATCAGAAACTGCAACAATGGCTGAGGCTTCTGTAGCAAGCTCTGGCACTAGATACTTCTGTCATGTTTGCAATGAAGATATCAACCCTGTTCTTCCAGTAAGTACTATTTAGAATGTTCTACATTTTGTGTATCAGTTATTCTCCCACCAGTACTGGCTATCTGGTTGTGGATAGGCCAACTGTTTTTGAGCATTTGTAGTGGAAAGCATGGTCTCCACTTGCTTCACAAACTTACTCATGCCAACAGCATGATTCTGGGATACCATTGCATTTTCCTTCTGCAGGTGGTCAGAATTGTTCAGAGGGTAGAAATGTATGCTTCCTGTGCCTTCACTTGTGTGTGATGCAGTGTGAATCAGCAACTGTGATGACAACTTTATAAGTGTCACTAGATTTTGGCATAGATAAAGATAATTTAATTTGATATATTTTACCTGGTCAGAGCTTTTCACCTTGTATGGATCAACAGATGAATGAAGGCCATGCTCATGAACAGTCTTTTGTCCTTGGGTTGAAAAATGATATAAATCCTTCCTTTACTGACATCCTCTACAGCACTGCTGCAAAAATGTAGTTTTGGAAAATAATTTAGGTGACTGAGCAGGAAAAAATGACTGAATCTGCCCTCAATATGCACCAAAAAGCAGTTATTTCCTGACTATGACCCACTTTCCTCCCAAACTTGGAGAGAGGCTCCAGCCAGCCCCTGAAACAAAGAGGAAACTATGCCCACTGCTGAGTGCTCCCCATTTGTGGTTTGGCATGTGTTGCACCTGATTTGGATGACTACAACTCTCACCCATACTTTTCCCTGGCAATCACGGATTAATTGTCCTCCAAACACTGCCACCCATGTTTCAAGGCCTGATTACATCATAAGCTTCAATGCCACCTGCAGGGCTTGCTGTCTTCTACCAGGAGTTGTCATCCATGTTGTGGCAGGGTGCTCTTTTCCATTATGTATATCCAGTCCGCCTGCAGAGTTTGCTGGCTGTTTGCAGGAGTGTGTCTGTCTGGTCCATCTTGCAGGAGTGCATCTGTCCAGTCTGTGCGGAGTTTGCTGGCTGCTTGCAGGGGTGTGTTTGTCCGGTCCATCTTGCAGGAGTGTGTCTGTCCAGTCTGTGCAGAGTTTGCCGGCTGCTTGCAGGAGTGTGTTTTTCCGGTCCATCTTGCAGGAGTGTGTCTGTCCAGTCTGTGCAGAGTTTGCTGGCTGCTTGCAGGAGTGTGTTTTTCTGGTCCATCTGGCAGGAGTGTGTCTGTCCAGTCTGTGCAGAGTTTGCTGGCTGCTTGCAGGAGTGTGTTTGTCCAGTCTGTGCAGGGTTTGCCGGCTGCTTGCAGGAGTTCACATGCCCCACGTGCCGTGACGGGTTTATCGAGCAGCGCTGTCTGGACACGGCCATGGCGGACGACCCTGGCGACGAGCTGCCGCCGCTGGACGAGACCGGCCTCCACGCTCTCGCCCAGGTCAGTGGCCTGCAGCGCCACGTGTGCACGTCCATGCAACAGTCCGTTCGGCGCTTCAAATTGCTCGCTGCTGCATTGGACTGATTTATTGCGCGTGACTGGGTGACGTCCTTTGGGCGTGGCGGGGGATGCCGGGGAATCGAAGCAACGCTATTGACTGTGCTTTGATTTTTGTGAGCTCGGCTGGTGGGGATAAGTGGGTGTCTTGTTTTACCCTGGTGTGGGTACCACATCAGGCAGTGCGTGCAGCCAGGATTGCAGGTTTATGGCCAGTGAAAGCTTCAGCAGCATCCATTTTACAGAAACAAATAGCATCGGGCTGGATGGGGCCACTGTCTAGCGCATTCTTGTTGTTTACTTCTTATATCCGCTAGTATGCAGTATTTTGGCTATTGTTGTGCTTTAGAGTTAAGACTGGCGTGTGGTCGGACCTTGTCCGGCGCATGCGCACGAATAATCCCACACAGCTTCCACGAGTCACCTGTAGGGGACCTCTCTCTCGTGGAGTGACTTGAGTAGTTAACTATGTATTCACGCGTGGGGCCGTTCGGGGGCCTCCGTTTTTCAAGCTGCACCAGGTTGAGCTCTGACATTTTGTCGCTTTTCCTAACCATCAGTTTGAAATGTCCTGACAAAATTCTAGCTGCATGCATAGTTTGCAGTAGGCATGCCGGGAAAGGTCATGGCGTTCTCAGAGAGATTAACAGACGAGAGATTTAAAGATAGACAGGTTAACAAACACTAGCATATCGCTATCTGGTGCTGGAAGCCAGTGTTTCCCTAAAATACGTTGTCGTATCATCAAACTTCAAATATGACCGTTTGCGGTTTTTAACCCTCACCCTGATTCGCTGTTTTCATGACGCAGACTGCTGGCGGGGGGGGGGGGGGCAGGGGGCAGGGGGCAGGGGCAGGCGGCGATAATGATGTGACCCGTCTGTCGTTTCCAAACTGAGAACGACGGAGTTAAGCGGAAGACACCAGTAGATTGATCTCAACATGCTCTCGTGATTAGTAATAAGTATTATGTTTCTAGTTCATTAACTGACCCCATTATACGAGACCCAAGGTCGTATTATCCCGAACATTTTGTCCCCCATATTATACCGCAGAATCGGTGATTGTCGCTGACCATTGATGGCCGTGCTGTGGTCCTAAAAAAAAACCGCTGCTGCTCCGAACCAGAAATGCTATGGGCGGTTTTTGGTGTCAAAACACGCACAATGCATGCCCGTGGCTGCTAAAAATTGGGCTGATGCAGAATATAGCAAGAGAGCGGTGCGATCACAAATTGATGTTGGCTCTCGACTATTTCGAACAGGCTACCGATAACAAAATTCCGTGACATCCCGGTAGAGTTCAAAGGTTTCCGAGGCAGGGGTGCTCTCCGTCTACCAACCGCGTATATCACACATCCGTCCGTGGTCTGAGCTCACTCCACATAGGACTCGATAGGCTTGCACCAGACACACTTATAAAACTATGGGTAGAAGAGCCCACGCTGTTATTCGTGTTGAGACAGTGCTGTATATCGATATTTAGTGTACCCACATATTGAAGATTACCCACCCACCGCTGATTGAAAAATGAGGTGCATCTGTGCCTTTTTGCTCACCATAATTGCTCCATTAAATGTGTAGGGATGCAGGAGATGTGCTTGCTTTAATGAGACAACTCAGCGCGCTACGGACCTTTTCAAACTTTTGGTCATGTTCAAAAGGCGGTAACAACATGGTCTTGTTCGCGGCATCACCCGTAAACCTCGGTTCAATGGGCTCCGAAGTCTCAAGAGAGTCTCGATCACAAGTCACCTGCATGAAAAGGGAGTTCCGAGAGTTAAGACGCCGGCTTCTAGATCAACAGGGCTGCGTCTGAGTTTCGTCACTTGAACCCCGCGCCGGCGGCAGCGTCCGTGGGGGTGGGACGAGGATAATGGCCTCAGCATACCTTACACGCTTCGACAAACAAACTAACAGCCACTAGTGCCGCTTTTTCCAGTTTTCCTCCGCTCCCTCCCTCCCTCATCCCGTCATTGTCTGAAAACCCGGCCACTCATGGAAGGCCTGCAGGTGAAGCATGTGATCTGTGACTGAGACTAGTGGCTCTAGTGGCTCTAATCTGTGACCACTAGTGGCTCAGTGGCTGGCGACGCCTGACCGCCGCCGCGCCGCTCGGCGCTCTTCCAGATGCTGAACTTCGGCCGGCCGCTGCTGGGCGTGCCGGGTGTGGGGGGCTCGGGCCCCGGCCGTGCCCGCACACACGGCTACAGCACCCGCTCGGCGCACCGGTGAGTCCCCCTTCCGCCCGCCCCGCCCCCCGCCGCCCGGTGCTGCCATCTGCGGGGGTCAGCCCGGCTCGGCGGCGCCCGTCAAGCACGAACGTCGGACCAGGCTTGGCAGTGGTGTTTGTACTTGCGTTGGTACCTACCGTAAATAACACGACGATTTGTGCTATTGTTGAAGGTGACCCTGCTGCACCAGGTATCGTAATTACATTTGTTGTTCCTGTCATTTTTATTGGTTGTGGTAGAAGGTCTGTCGTCTAATGGCTACCGTCGCTGTCCAGTGCTCGTGGGCGGCGAGAGGCGTCTGCCCGGTCCTCGCCGCTGACTGACAGGGCCTGGCCGCCGCAGGAATGCCGCCCAGCACGACCAGCAGCACGGCCTGCTGGGCGAGATCCTCGACACGCTGTTCGCGACGTTCCCGAACGTCCGCGTCAACGTCGACAACAGCGCCGAGGTCCCCATGTGAGTCTCCATCGCGGGTCACACGAGGGCCCCATCGCTGATGGTACGAGGTCCCTATCACGGGTCACACGAGGTCCCCGTCACGGCCACACGAGGGCCCAATCACGGGTCACACGAGGGCCTCATCGCTGGTGGTACGATGTCCCTATCACGGGTCACACCAGGTCTCATCACTGGTCACACGAGGTCCCATCACGGGTCACACCAGGCCCCCATCACGGTTGACACGAGGTCTCATCACGGGTCACACGAGGTCCCATTTCAGGTCACACGAGGTCCCCATCACGGCGCCACACGAGGCCCCCATCACGGCACCACACGAGGCCCCCATCACGGCACCACACGAGGCCCCCATCACGGCACCACACGAGGCCCCCATCACAGGACAACACGATGTCCCCATCACAGGACAACACGATGTCCCCATCACGGGCCACACGAGGGTTCCATCACGGAGCCACGGGCGTAGTACACGAGCGACGGCCCGATTGCACGTTCGTGGTCGCCCTTCTGTGCTGGGCGGTGCGGCAGGGTGGGCCCGACACTGTGGTTCCGCGTCGTGCGAGAATAGTCTTCCGAGGAGGCACCGCTGATGCGTCCGCGCCGTCTCTCGCTGACGGTCATTGTTCGCCGCACACGAGCTGTGTGTGCCGACGGCGTGCTAGCGGACGCTGTGAGTCACATGAGGAGGCTGACGAGCGGGGAGGCGTGATTGCGATAGGCGGCCAGGCGTGGGGCTCGCAATACTGTCAATGGTGAGATGACAGCCGCCCGACTCTTCTGTGACTGACTATTTACAGAAGAGTAAAGTGCCAATATGTACATAGCGTCTCTCGTGTTTATGGCAGCACGGTGGTGCTATTTGCGGTGTACACGCGCCGGCACGAAGCATTTGAAGCATTCTTTGACGATACTTGTCCAGCTGCTCACCGTCACCCATCAGGCACTGCCTCAGTCTTCATTCATTCCTGTCCCGGGAGGGGGCCGCCGCCGGCCAGTGCCCGGCGGCGCGCGGCCCCGCTGACGCCCGCTCGTCCCGCGTCCGCAGCCAGTTCCGGCTGCACGGCAACCCGGGCGACTACGCCTGGGGCAACTCAGAGCTGGACCGGATTATCACACACCTACTGAACCAGCTGGACACGAGCGGGCCGCCGCCGCTGGGCGCCGAGCTCATCCACCGGCTGCCGCGCGTCGCCGTCACCCAGCAGCACGTCGGTCAGTGGCCGCCGCCGAGGAGAGCGGGGGCTGACCGTGCCGTCTGTTCGGGGCGCGGCCGGCCGACTGACCGGCGGTTACGGGCCGCTCGCGGGTCCGGGTGTCGGAGCCGGGGAGTCTGGGCGCTCGCCGGCTCTCCGGCCGGTTCAGGGTCTGTGTTTCGCAGCCCCCGGCGACTGGAGCGGTGGCGGCCGCTGCCAGAGCTCGACGCTCGGGGGTTCGTCTGGCGGCGAGGCTGAGGCACTCGGGGGAACGCGGGCGGTGCCAGTGTCTTTCAGCGCAGCTTGGGCTCTGACCAAACGAGGTGGTTATGTCTTACATACGCGCTAGAGATGCAGATGGGTGATAGTTTTGGTCAGCTGTTGGATGCCATGCCTTTCAACGATATCTTGGTCTCAAAGTTCTCTTTACATCACGTCTGACTTAAAACCTGGTCACGCCTATTATGTATTTAAGTTCTGCATTTGTTTTGTTTTCGTTGACGTCCCCTCCTCTCACCCTGTGGGCTGCGGGCCGCTCACGGGCGCCGCTGTTGGCAGACGCCAGCCTGCAGTGCATGGTGTGCTTCGAGGACTACACGCTGAACGAGACGGTGCGGCAGCTGCCCTGCCAGCACCTTTACCACAGCGACTGCATCGTGCCCTGGCTGGAGCTGGTGAGCGCCCGGGGTCGCGCCGGCCGGTGGCGGGCGGGGCCGTGGCGGCCGGCCGGCTCAGTCCCGCGTCGGCTCACTGGGGGGGCGGTCCGTGTCGTGGACCCCTGCTGTGCGGCATGAACTTCGTACCGTGGTATGTGCCTGAGTCCATCGTGCTCTAGAGCTTATGCTGCGATCTCGGAATAAGACGTGATTTAGCGAATGGTTCGTCGAAAGTTCGGGAAGATGTGTGTGACCCGGTCAGGATCTTAGTAACTGGCAGTGATTAGTAAGGCTATGGATCAATCGACCAAACAAAACATGCGGGCAGTCGCCATTGGGGGGGGGGGGGGGGGGTATCCCAAAAGGCAGTCTCTTTATGCTCCTCTGCTTCATGAGAGGACCCAGTTTTAGAGAGGAAGGTTTGCCGGCATTTTTCGGTGATATCTCCGGGTTCATGGATCGTTGCTTGTCTACGGCCATTTTTGCTCCTTATATTATGCTTAATTTAATCGTAACCCTCTGCCTTTCGTTTGAGCTACTCCCCAACTTGCAAGGCGTCCTTTTGTGCTGCGTTATCCTCGCCGACTCTGTTTTGCTCCCACTGTCCGAGCGCCTTGCGGCGGAAGAGGGAGAGCCGCCCGCGTTCCTCGCGTGATGCCGGCGCGCGCTAGCGTGGGGTTTGTCACCGTCGTCACGTGATGTGCTGTGACAGTGCGCGTGACGGAGCCGGCGCTCCGTCTTCGTCCCCCACTCATCCTATCGGCCGGCGGCTGACGGGAGGTCACAACCTGTCGACAGCACGGTACCTGCCCGGTGTGTCGCAGCAGTGTGGACCCGTCGAAGGCGGACCCAGCGCAGCCGGGCCCCGGCCAGGCCAACTAGCCACCAGGTGAGCCGCCGTCTCAGGGGCGTCGAACGCCCGTCTCTGCCGTCAGGGGCGTCGGGCGCCCTCTCTGCCGTCAGAGACGCCGCCGTCTCAGGGGCGTCGAACGCCCGTCTCTGCCGTCAGGGGCGTCGGGCGCCCTCTCTGCCGTCAGAGACGCCGCCGTCTCAGGGGCGTCGAACGCCCGTCTCTGGAACCAGAGGTGCCGCCGTCTCAGGGGCGTCGCGCGCCCGTCTCCACCGTCAGAGGTGCCGCCGTCTCAGGGGCGTCGCGCGCCCGTCTCCACCGTCAGAGGTGCCGCCGTCTCAGGGCGTCGGCGCGCCCGTCTCTGCACCGTCAGAGGTGCCGCCGTCTCTGGGGCGTCGCGCGCCCGTCTCTGCCGTCAGAGGTGCCGCCGTCTCAGGGGCGTCGCGCGCCCGTCTCCACCGTCAGAGGTGCCGCCGTTTCAGGGGCGTCGCGCGCCCGTCTCCACCGTCAGAGGTGCCGCCGTCTCAGGGCGTCGCGCGCCTGTCTCTGCCGTCAGAGGCGTCTGGGCCGGTCGCCGAGTCACGCGCGCGGTCAGGAACAGTCTCAGACGGCAACGAGGGAGCGAGAGGTGGCGTCCACGTCCACGGCGTCACGCCATTGTCGTCGATTGGTGTAATTGTTGTGAGCTGCAGATAAATTCGTCGTTGGACGCATGGTAATACTCACGGTGACTCCCACACGAAAGGCTTAATAGTTGACGTGTAAGGGTGGGGCGAGTTGCGATCTAACGTGTTCCACTGTATAATCCACATATTTGCTTTCACAATTTTGACTACTTTTAGCCAGCGACAATAATATGCTCCACATATTTTCTTGTCCAACTTTGACAGGCATGGCACGGCACAACTTTGACAAGCATGGCCGCATGCTTTGTTCAATGCGCTGATTTATGACATCGGCCATCGCCCGTTTGTGTGCGCCATGATACTGACAACATGTGCCCCCCGTCCAGGCCCTGGCTGGTATTGTTAGCCTTATGACAGCCTGCCCGCCGGCGGTGCACCTCAGCGAACCGGCGCCGTGACGTCACTCAGCGCTCGCTCCGGATTGCCGACGTATTGGCGAGGCTGCGAGGAGCGAGTGACGTCAGTTTGTCGTCACGCTGCCGCTCGTCCGTTCGGGGCCGACGAGCGGGTGCGCCCGAGCGGACAGCGCTCGCTGTCGGTGGCGACTCCTCAGCAGCGCCGCCTACCAGTGACGTGACGCGTGCGGCTCGGCTCGATCGGGACCTCGGCGCTGGAACCTCGGCCGTGGAGCCGCCGCCGGTCGACTCGGCGCGGCCCGAAGCCCGCTGACGGTCGGGAGCGCGCGCCACCACACGATTGTGATACCTACCCCTGCCCTGTCGGTGCTGCCGGCGGCGGCCGCACCGCTCTGGCTGGACGCTGAGGCAGCGGGCACCACCGCCGGTCCGTCGCCGGAGCGAGCGGCGATTCTGAGAAGACAGTAGCGGCTGGACGCTCGGCCGCGACACGAGGTCACAAGGTGCGAGGACCACACGCGGCCGCCGTTGTGCGCGTTCTGCGTCACCATCCGCGTTGTGGGAACGACATCGAACTCGACAGGGAACCGCCGGGCTGGAGGCCCCGGCTCAGTGGCCTTAGCAATCAAACGGAGGACTAGTGCCTCGCCGGCGTCTCGCATCTCTCCCCGGCTAAGCATTTGGGCGGCTCTCCCGAGCAGCCGGTGTGTGAACTGGGAAAGCTTCAGTGTGATGAATGAGCCAGTTTTGTCCCCGCCTGGTATGCCCCGTCTGCACGTGAACCTGTTGTGGTAGTGGGTACCACTGATGTGTATGTGATGCCAGCGCTTTCTGATATGTCAGGACAGCCACGATTATGGCCTATAATCTGGGTACGCGTAGATTAGGCAGAACTACCGCACGGAGGGTAAATTATGGACCAAATGAACTTACCACCGGGCCTCTAGTCGATGGCTTTCGGTCTGCATTATTATCCTGCCTTGTGTGTGCGCGTGCGCGGATCGATTACCCGACGGTGATCAGTGTGTCGAGTGAACGTCTCGCACGTGTAGTCTGACTGAACGCCCTCCCTGCGGCTCGCGTCGTTGCCGTGTGTACGACTGTTGCGTTGTATGCCGTCGCTGAGCGCGGCGTCCGTGTGGCCGTGATTCCGCGAGGGATGCCGTTGTGAGTGAGCACGCGTGCGATGGCGCCGCGCGGGGCGGCGCGAAGCCGGGCCGGCCGCCGTCCCCGCCACCTGTTCATCCTGCACCCGTGCGTTCGTCGCCGACGCGCGGCCAACACGACGGCCGCGTCAGACCCGCCCGCGTTTGGTCCCGGCTCACGGCGCTGGCGTGCGACGGGGAGAGGTAGAACAGCTGGTTTTCAGGGCGGTGAATTTACTCAATTCGGTCACAAAGACACTGCTAAAATAAGCGTTACACGAACGACCAGCTGGCGGAACTACAGGCGGAAGAGGCCTCTCGAACCCCCTCGGGGTATGGCGTTCAGGTCAGCACCAGGTCAGCGATTGGCCAGCTCGAAGAACAGCATATACACTTCGTAGCCATTGCCGTGGCGCATACAGATAATCTGGACACTGAAGTCAGCATGCCCATACCACTATGAAAAGCGATGTTTACGGTGGGCCGTGCAGTGACCCGAGAACGCCATGCCAGAGTGGTTGCTTACGCTGCACAGGTTGTACTTGAAGTCCTTCACTGCAGCAGTGCGTGGCTACAGGTCCAGAGCACTAGAGAGCGGTCTGGAGGGTTATTACCCGTGCTGGGATGCGTTCCTAGGTGTTTCATAACGGCGTGGGCTTCACTGATATTCGTCACTCAAGGTAGCTCGCGGTCATCAGTCGTCGCATGTTCGCAGCGTTCGCGCAGTCAGGTCATCAGCGAAATCGCCTCTGATGGGCCGAAGCCTGACGGAGGCGGCCGCAGTGGGAGCTGCACCGTCCCACCATCAATCGCGACCACCCGTCCCACTGACGGGCTGTGGTCTCGCGACCCGGCGAGCCGATCAGAGCTCCCGGCCGAACGAAGGTCGTGCCGCGGGCGGGACCGCCCCGCTTCGGCAATCATCGGCCGCACTTCACGGTGGCCGCACCTTGGCCGTATCCGGCCGTAGCCTTGGCCGTCGTTTCTGCGAACCCAGACCTTGACGCAGGAGCTCCGCTGCGAGTGCGGGAAGCACCGGGTGCGCGTGGCCATTTGGCGCCATGCTCCCTCCGGCAAACATGGCGTGATGTGTGTGGAACATCGTGGACCCTGTATCTCCATAAATCTTGTACTAGTTCAATGTTGTTGGAAAAGCCGCAGTGCATTGGCATCAGGTACCATTGAACACACTTTCCGTAGCAACATAGAACTTCTGTAAGTGTTCTCTGTCCTTGGATTGTTATTTGTGGACTTGGGTTTGGCTTACTTTTTGACCGCAGCGGTGTTGCACCATGAATTGGCCGAAGATGGAGACGCGTTACAAAAAAATCGCGTTTTGATGTTACATATTGCTAGACGAACTTGCAGTATCGATGGTTGCAATGTTATGTATAACTCAATCTTCTTTTAGTTATCTGTTTATGGTGAACGTTGTTGACTAACTACCATGACTAATTTTCCGAATCTAACACAGCATTCTGCGACTACCGAAATTGCATCGCTACCATCTGACGGAATGAGGGAAATGCACCACGGCGACTTTTTGCAGCGTGCAGCTTTCTGTGAAATTCTTGGCATTGAAACCCCACAATTTAACCACGAACGTCGACAGAAAAGTACCTCTTTGATTAGCTTCAGCACTAAGCATTCGCATTTCTAAACGCGGATCAACAAATTGCACCCGCGTGTACTTGCTGTCTGCACGCAGGCTCATCAAACACATCGATGGCAGGCAGCGTCGCATTTACCGGGCGTTGGACGGTGCGTGTCACCGACGTGCGGGCCACGTGATGGCACAGCTGACCCATCAAAATGTACACCATGATCTGTGTACTGTCCTCCGACGCCATCGCCAGCTCTAAGCGCTTCATGTAGGTGATGCCAGCGTACAGTGGCGTCTCTGCGCCGACCGTTCAGCTTGGCAATGTGAGCTGGTCCGGATGCAGATACGTACTTCAGGGCCGGCACGTGGCTGGATCCCGAAAACGGATCCTAGCCTCCGGAGCTTGCTATCAGAATTCATGCATTCATTCTTGAGATCCAGGCACATGTCCGTTTTATGGCCTCACCGGCTTCCTCAGAACCTTTTCTACATCCGTCTTGTCCACCACCGGACAGGTAAGCAGGAACCGAACGGCCTGTAAGCATAGGCGGATCGTGGGGGGGGGGGGGGGGGCACGGGGCCATGGACCCCCAAAAACTCAGAGTATGTTTTGGCCTCCCAAAACATTCCCGGAACTTCATAAAAGTTTCGTCTACTTACCGTCTGTTTTGACTTTAACTGTTCTGTTTTGTTTTAAGTTTTGTTTAAGATTTGAAAGCATTTCGGTGCTTGAATGGTGTCCCTACTGGCACTCGCGAGAGGCACCATGCACTGGACCTCGGATCCCACACCAGTCAGCTGGCGACGAACGGTTGCCCCCCCCCCCCAAAGCTCCAGGCTAGATCCGCCCCTGCCTATAAAGGCGGTCGACTCACCAGTCGACCAGTAAAAACTAACGATTATCTGCTTAAATGAAACCAGTCGACGTGTGCTTGCGTTTGACAGATAACGTTACAAGATGAAAGCAAAACGTGGGCGTCATGTCACGACCCGACTCGCACTCTGGGTGCGCCAGTGGTCCAATTAGAATTCAGACGATCTCCCTGAGGCCAGATTTCAGAGCCACGTGTGTAACTGGTGGAATTGAACCTGTTAAGGCTCTCGGTCTTTCGAAACCCGGTTAGTAAGCCGACAACAGCAACCCGAGAGATCATGTTCAGACATCAGCACGTGGTCTGTTAGATGCGATGTGATTGGCTCGTTACGTCAGTGCAGCTCGCCGTGAGGTCGGTGCTCAGATTTTGAACAGACTACGGTCTCGATGACATCCCTTATTGATCGTCACACCAGGAGCGTAGTTACTCAAAATCAGATGTGGAGACTGAACAGTGAAAAATGGCCCAACCTGGTGTGGTATGAAAATGACCTAACAGGTTTATTCCCAAATTTGGCCCCCTTCGCTCCCAAGGTTGGGGAAGACTGAAGTGCAAGTTGGGGGAGGGGAGGCGGGGGGGGGGGGGGGGGCTGAAGCTCTCTGACTGAAAAGGAAGCCACACCCCTGCGTCGCATCTATCAATTACCATTCACGATCCAGATCTGATGTGACGAACGCGCGTGGGAATAGCTGACAATCGCATACGCGAGACTAATACAAAGAGCCCCGATCCCCCTATCATCCACCACTAGGTGCAATCCAAAGGCTCCCGCAGGCTCACCGTCCGCAGCCCGGCGGGAAGCGGCGGTCCTGGTAACTGCCGAGGATGGAGCGGCCAGGCGTCGTCCTCGACACCCATGGCGTCGTCGATGGAGCAACTAGCGCGTCAGCCGCGAGGCCGCTGGAGCGGCGCCGGATAGATGACAAGTAATGGCCGCCCGCCTCTCATGTCCTAGCTTGGGGGGGGGGGGGGGCCGCCGGGGCCGGGGCGGCAGCTGGATCGCTGTGCTTGCCCTCGCTGGGATTAATGCTCGCAACCCAAGCAGGGCGAACGGTGGCTTTTGCTGGTCCGAGAGGTGGAGAGACACGTGCGTCCCCAGGGAGACCACGAGACCTAGGAGCGTGGGCCGGTGGCGATCGGAGACTAGATCACTCTGTCGATCAGAGCGACGCCGGCGCGGTCAGAGGGAATTCTGCCAGCCGGAGAAGGGCTGCTCGCTGTCAACCGGAGTTAGAAGATAGCTACCACTGTCCGGAGAGTGCAGGGGTGGGAACCAATCTCTGCATCTCCGACCTGGACTCTCGCCAATCCCTCGCCAATCCCTGGACAAGGGCGATTCTTTTCGGCCGGAGAGGACGACGGCCCCTCGTCAGCCCGCGTAGAGCGCGGTCTGTCAGCCGGGGAGGGCCCCTGCGAGGCGGGGCGGGCCGGGTGCCCGCGGCGCCGGGTCCCGCTGTCCCCGGCCCCGATCAGCGCGTGACGAAACGCGGCCGATGGACCGTCCTGGCAGTCCGTGCCGCCGCTCCGGCAGTCGGTCTGGCCGTTACGCAAACGGCGGCGGACAGAGCACCGGCCCCGTCCGAGCTCGCCTGCCGGCCGAGATCGTATGCCGTCGCGATGCCGCTACAGATGACCGGCGCCTTGCTTAGGACACGGTTAGTTGCGTGATACGTTAGGACAGAACCTGTTGTTCAGAAGTCCGGAGGGCCAGAGTTTATCTCTACTCTGCTTGCTGGGGTCGCATGAAACGTGATCTCGGGACGCTTTGTGGAAGAAGGCGCAGAAGGACCCGCGGATACCGACACTAATGGTTTCCTTGACCCGGAGTTCGCGTTGGTCACAGCCCATAATAGCACGTTAGATTTAAGGCCTGCCTTACCTACCCAACCTTAAACCACATCCTATAGCATAGTCTGTTGGTTTGTAATGGCAAGATCGGATGGGTCCAGGACCACTTGCTTTGTCCTGGGCTGAACGGGAAAGCTCAGATGCGCTTCATTCGTGTCTTTCCATGCATCTTCCCTTACATCGCGGTAGGCATAAGGAAAAGGTTTCAAAATGTTGATCGAAGGCTCAAACCCAAGGCCCCCATATAGCGATCCCGCCGGGGTCTGTGCATAGACTTTTCAAAACAAATGACACATTTTCCCTCCCTTGATGTGCTCTCACCCATACCAATATTCTTCCCTACCCCTCCCAAGACTGCGTTGCCGAGTTGCTTTGGCACACAGCATACGACTGTAGGCCAAGACTTTACTTCTGTCCCTCGTTTGGAGTGTTTCCCTCTCTCACATGACAGCCAAACACTCAAAAAATCTTCTGACTACAGCCCAGTCTCCGCCCACTGAAAACCCATAAAACAAAGCCCGACTTGGCCCAACTCTGCACCGCGCCCTAACCTGACCCAGCGCGCCGGTTTTCAGACGACCTCAACCCAAGCGCGACATTGGCGCTACACCTGTCCCTCGGCAGCTGCAGCGAGCTCCTGGCCACTGACCGGCCGCCCCGCGCCTCCCGCCCCGGCCGCCGAGCCTCCGTTAACCTCCTGACGGTGGCAGCGCGGTGACCCCTGTAGCGGGACGCATGCCAGCGGGGGCGACGAGTGCGTCCTTTCACCGGCCGCCGGCTCGTCCGTCTGCCGGCCCGCCGACGAGCGGTGACCGTTGGCCAATCGGCGCCGCTCCCGCCCCGCACGTGACACGGGGAGCAGTGAACAAATTCCCACCCGGCAGCGGGTCATCGATTGGCTGTCACTTACGGACCTGAGGACCGATGGATGGACCGCTGGGCGCTGGCCGTCCCGGGCTGATTCATTGGCTGGCTGGCTGATCATTAATCGCTCGCGCGCTTAGTTAGTCACTCAGACACTTATTAACTCAGGTAGTTACTCATACGCCCGCCAACCCCGCACTGTGGGTGTGTCACTCCACTCAGGCTCGTACTAAATGGCTTGCTACTCTTTTGGCATCAGTGAGAGGCGAAAATCTCGCTCTTTGTGAACGTTTTTCTCACCATCTACACACCTCCATAGATTTCCTTGTACCTGCCTGCGCGCGAAGAAATTGCAGCTTATTCATGTGACATTTGTTAGCTAGCAGACCTG